TCTCTCTCTCTCCAATAAATAACTAATCTTTTTAAAAATGTATATGGTAGTATTGGCTCACTGGTAATGAATTCTCTCAGCTTTAGTATGTCTGGAATCACTGCCCTGTGCTACCTACTGTCCAATGTCTGAAAAGCTTCACTATCACCATCATCACCCTCCATGCCACATATTTGCCTAGTTTTCTGGTTGTTTAAGGTGGGAAGCTAAACCTAGTGTATGTTATTACATCATATCTTCAATGTGGAAGTTTCCCAATTTTATTTCTTCACTGCTGTTGGTTTTAGATTTTCTGATGTTTTTTTTGCTTGTGGGAAATTAAACTCTAAAAATCAAGTTTGTTTTGAAAGAGACAAAAAATATTCTCCTATAAATCCATGTAACTATTTGGTTTATCTCCTCAAAATTGAACATATTTTGATGTATCAAAGGAAACGGAAAAACTAATAACTTATGTAAACTTTCCCTAAACACAGGAGAAAGGAAATACAAGAATAATTTCCTTCAATACATGAAAAGAGAAAGCAATGTGGTATTTTATTCTAAATATTAAAAATGAATAGTTAATGCACTCTGTTCAATGATCTTTTTTTGCACCAATATGAATCAATGCAATTAATATAACCCTAAGAGACTCTTATTAATCTCAGGAAACAAACTGAGGGTTGCTGGAGTGGAGGGGGGTGGGAGGGATGGGGTGGCTTGATGATGGACACTGGGGAGGGTATGTGCTATGGTGTGAATTGTGTAAGACAGATGAATCACAGACCTGTACCCCTGAAACAAATACCCCTGAAACAAATAATACATTATGTGTTAATAAAATATATATGTATATATATAAAAGATTTATAGTATATAACACAGTACATACTGTAGTGGTTCAAACACAGCTACAGATGTGTGACTGGATAAATAAGTATCCTCTCTAAGTCAGAATTAGTTAATAAAAATAGCTGTTTAGAGTAGTGGCTGGAAAATAACATGTATTTGATAAGACTTTTTTTTATTTATAGTCAATAATTTGTAATTGTCATTTCTTCATTCTAGTATAAAGCATAATGATAAAACAGCATGCCTTGCTCTATGACCACTACAAACATTATATATATGTATTAATATGATATATAGTAAATATAATGTAATAATTCCCACTATCTTTACAGAACTCTAAAGTTTACAAGGTTCTTTCCAATGTAATCTTGCTAACATATGATCCCCAAAATATGCAATCCTCCAATATCCATGTGAAATAGATGTTATTAACATCAAATTATCAGGGCTCAGAAAGTTTATATGATAGATTTAGATATACATGAGGCAGAGCATGAACTAGACCGAGCATCTTCCAATATTATAACTTCTTTCCTTTGTAATATGGTTCAGTTGATGTCATACCCTGTATTTTTTTAAAAAGCAGTATTAACATTTATAAGATTTTATATATATGAGATATAAGATATTTATAAGATATACATATAGGCATATATACATTTATCACTGTAATGAAAGAATATCATCTTGTTATATTATTGTGAGCTTATAGTTAAAAACAGAAATATGTATTTTAAAAAACGAATATTCCTTAGCTGTGAATATATGTACTAACACCCAGTAGAATAAAAACATGCAAGTTCTGTAGGAAGAGTATATAACAAATTTATATTAATTCATGCTTACTAATTATCACTCTGACATTTGAAAAAATAAAAATTTCTTAATTATTGATACAAAAGAAATATACTGGCTCACTTGTCTGTCTCAATAAATCCATTTATCCAAGAAATTTCTTGCTTCAAAATGAATGTACTATTCTGGTACAATCACTATACTTAATTTTAATAATTATTAATCATTAATTTTAATATAAGTATTCTTAAAGATAAATACAAGCCAACTGCATAGCTAATTCATAAAAAAAATCACTCATACTTGAATATTTTAACCTTCTCTATCTACTTTAAAAGCTGTTATATCACATATATGATTTCAAGATAGTTTTTCCAATTAAAACAATACTATAATTGGGGTAAGGATACTAAATACATTATGCAAAAGGATCAAGGCAACAAAGATTAAATACAATTTAGTAGTATATTTTTTAGAAGGCTCTCAAAAAATAAACAAATCTTTAAAAAAAAACACATTATCAAAGTGAGTAGATGTTATAGATGTAGTGGATAGGAAATACAGTGAAGATATATTGTATACAGAGATTTCTCATATATGTTGCCTTTGATTTTAATGAGATAAAATGTAAATTAACATATTTACATAGAAATTATTTTGAAATATGATAGGAAATTCTAACAAAATTGTGTGTGGTTTGTTTTGGGTTTTTTTTGGTTAGTGACATGCACTTCTGATTGGCTATTACCTATAAATACTGATTCTTGCTCCCATTATATTTAATATTTCTTTTGAATTACAGTGTACATATAATAAAATATACCTATCTTTTGTGTTCAGTGAGATGATTTCAGGCAAATGCATACAGTCCTCTAACCCACACCTCTTTCAAAACTGGCTATTTCCCATCTGCAGAAACTTCCCTCATGCCACTTTCCAATCTCTGACCCCATGCCATCCCTCACCAGAGGCAAACACTGGTCTAATTATAATCACCATAAACAATTTGATCTCTTTCAGAAATTCTTATACGTACAATCATACAGCATGTATTCTTTTATGTCTGTTTTTTATTTCACTCAAAATCATGTTTTAGCCAATCATCCATGTTGTTATGTATATCAGAATTTTTAAAATTTTTATTGCTGAGTCATATTCAATTATATGAATATACCACAATTTGTTTATCTAGTCTACTCTTTTTTTTTTTTTTAAAGATTTTATTTATTTATTTGAGAGAGAGAGTGAGAGAGAGAAAGAGCACAAGAGGGGGGAGTGGGAGGGGGAGAAGCAGACTCCCTGCTGAGCAGGTAGCCCGATGCGGGACTCGATCCTGGGACTCCAGGATCATGACCTGAGCCGAAGGCAGTCGCTTAACCAACTGAGCCACCCAGGCGCCCTATCTAGTCTACTCTTGATGGCCATTTGGGATGTTTCCAGTTTTTGCTTATTATAATTTAAACTACTATAAAAATTATTCATAAGTCCTTTTGTGTATATATATTTTCATTTTTCTTGGTTAGGAGGGGAATTGCTGGATAACAAGGTAAATATATGTCAAACTTCATCAGAAACCAACAAACTTCTAAAAAAGTGGTTGCAACATTTACACTCCCACCAGCAACGTTTGAGACTTCCCCTTGCTCCATATTTTTGATAATATTTTTAAATGACTGCCTTTTAAATGTAGTCATTCTGGTAGACATTTATGGGTATCTCAAAGTGGTTTATATTTTCATTTCACTGATGACTAATAATATTGAGCATTATTTCATGTATTTATTGGATATTTGTATATCTCTGTGACATGTGTGTTGAATTTCTTGTTTATTTTTATTGGGTGTTATTTTTTTTGAGTTGTAACAATTCATTATATATTTTAGATACAAATTGTTTGATATATACAACACTTTGTTCTAATCTGTCTTCATTTTCTTAAGGCTCTCTTCTGAAGAGTAGTTTTAATTTGATGAAGTCCAACTTAGCAATTTTTAATATGCTTGAGATTTTCCTTCCCTTTCTAAGATAATTTTGCCCACTCCAGGCCATGAAGATAGTCTCCTATATTTTTTTCCAAATTTTTTACAGGTTCAGATTTAACATTTAGGTCTACGATGTATCTCAAAATATTTTTTGTGAATCATGTGAAGTAGCTTTGGAGGTTTATTTTTTGCCTCATATGATATTTATTTATTCACTATTTCTCACTGAATTTTTCCCATCAAATTTTTCTGGTGCCTTTTTTACATATGAGTTGACCATACGTGGATCATTCTATTTCTGGACTCTCCATTTTGCTCCATCATTATGTGTGTCTATCTTCACATCTATAATACACTGCTTGAATTACTGTACTTTCATAGTAAATCTTAAAATCAAATGGCATCAGTCCTCTAGCTTTGTTCTTTTTCAAGATGGCTTCAGCTCTTCTAGGACCTTTGCATTTTCACATAAATTTGGAATCACCCTGGTCCATCTCTAAAGTAGATCTTGATGTACTTTTGATTGAAGTTGTATTGAATCTACTGATGAACTTCGAGAGAATGGACAAGTTAACAATATTGAGTATTACACTTTAGGAACATAATATATCTTCCCATTTATTTAGGTTTTTTACAATTTCAGGATTGTTTTCTACTTTCAGTGTGGGAATTTTTACATATCATATGTTACATTTGTCCTTTTATCCTATTATAAATATTATTTTAAATTTTCAATTACTTATTGCATATATATGGAAATACAACTGATACCATTGACTTTATATACTTATTTTTATTTATTATTTATTTTTTAAAGATTTTATTTATTTATTTGACAGAGAGAGAGAGCAGAAGCAGGGGGAGCAGTAGGCAGAGGGAGAAGCAGACTCCCCACTGAGCAAGGAGACTGATGTGGGACTCGATCCCAGGACCCTGGGCCGAAGGCAGATGCTTAACCAACGGAGCCACCCAGGAGCCTGAGATTTTTATTTTTTGATAATTTTTATAATTAATATTTTTGAGTTTTGTAATAACAATTTACGTCTGACTTGAGTATTTTTGATAATTTTTTATAATAACTTACTTTTGATTATTTCAGTTACTTTTACTTTTGCATTTATAGATTCTATAGATTTTCAATAATCATGTTATCTGAAAAGAGGAATAATAAAACTCTACTTTCTCCCTTCTATCCTTTATGCCTTTTATTTATTTTTCTTTCTTTATGTACTAAAACATCTGTAAAGTGTAAATGGATATTGTAGGAGTGTACATCCTTTAACTGCTTCAGATAATGATCCTAGAAAGAGAGTAAGTATTTGCAATAGCCTTTCTCCCTTTGCATATTGTTTATTCCTTGTTTTCTGTTTTTTCTCTCCCAGCTAGCTCCTAAGGTCCACAGCCAGGCTTTCTCTAATTTCTTTTAAATTGTTTAAAACTACAGTGCATCTCATTATCTCATACATACCCAGGCTGACTCTTCAAATTAATGGTAATGAATTCATCTATTTATCCATCTATCTAGACATAAAGCTTACTTCAGCTTATTGACATTTTTAAATGCAATTCAAAAATTGTGTAACGATGGTACTACAATAATGCATACAACTGACCTTGAGTAAGGAACACACAATACACTGGATGGTTAGTAATAAAATCTGAGAATGCTAATGATGACTCCAAGGTTATCATCCCTGTTCTAGTTAATTCTTTGCAGAGACCTGCTTCAGAGACCTGTTCTAGTTATTCTTTGCAGAGACTTTGCAGAGATGATTTTGGCTCCCAACAAAAAACAATAAGTAAAATTATGAAGTATCCATGAAAATAACTGTTGAAAAAATTTTCTTTTGGGCACCTTGCTTGATCCATGAATTCTGTTGTCTATTTTTTTTTTTAACTCAGAGCATTTCAAAGACTTGGGTTACTGCTTGGGAATATGAAAGAAAAATTCCCTATACTTTTGTAAGTCAAGTAAGAAATAATGAAAAAAAAAGCTACTTTAAGGAAAAGATGTACATGAAATTCTAATAGACATTATGTTTACGCCATTAACTTAGGCAAAAATGTCACATTACATTACATCCTTTAAGCAAATTAATTCTAACACTAAGATTCCATTCCACCTCTGTCTCTATTTGGACTCCTGAACCACTTATGGCCATGACTATGAAGAAGTTCTTGGAGTTTGCCTCATATCAAAAGCCAAAGACATCCATCCAGTATTGTTTCATCTCTTCATTTACCTCTTGCCTCTGAAATGCCCATCGGCCCAGTCTTCATCAATTCATCTCTGAGGCCCAGGTGTCCAGTTGTTTCTGCATCCAATTTGGGCACAGGGATCTTTGCTGAAGCTGAGAACTCTGGGGACAGTTGATGAGCATCTCTGAGTACATCAGTCATCATCTTCCTTTTTCTAATTAATATTAGAGCAAAACTGTGATGCTTACCAAGTACCAATTATGTACACAATTTACTTTTATCCAGATTCTTTCATGAGCAAGATGCAATTTATAAAGCTCTACGTGTAACTGAATACTTTTTAATGGAAGCAAAATTATATATTTAAATATTAAATTAAAGAAGCTGACAAAAGAGAGCACATATCTCAAAAATTAATAGAAACTAAGTTGTAAATACTTATATTTAATGTGAATATAGCACAAAATGAAAAATATGAAGATAAAATGTAATAAATTATAAAAACTACCTGTTACTAAAAATATACACCCATAAAAATGAATAATATTTTTAAAATTTTTTTGAGGAAACTCCACACTGTCATCCAGAGTGGCTGCACCCCTTGCATTCCCACCAAAAGTGCACAAGGTTCCTTTTATTCCACATCCTTGTCAACACTTGTTTCTTGTGTCTTTTATTTTAGCCATTCTGACAGGTGTGAGGTGATATGTCATTGTAGTTTTTGATTTGCATTTCCCTGATGATGAGTGATGTTGAGCAGTTTTTTATGTGTCTGTTGGCTATCTGTATGTCTTTTTTGGAAAAATGTCTGTTCATGTCTTCTGCCCATGTTTTAACTGCATTGTTTGTCTGTTGAGTGTTGAGTTGTATCAGTTCTTTATATATTTTGGATATTAACTCTTTACTGTATATGTCATTTGCAAATACCTTCTCCCATTCAATAGGTTACCTTTTAGTTTTGTTGTTTCCTTCACTGTACAGAAGCTTTTTGTTTTGATGTAGTCCCAACAGTTTATTTTTGCTTCTGATTCCTTTACCTCAGAAGACAAATGTCAGATGTCAGAGAAATTACTGCCTATGCTCTCATTGAGGATTTTTATGGTTTTAGGTCTCACATTTTAGGTCTTTAATCCAATCTGAGTTTATTTTTGTGTATAGAGAAAGAAAGTGGTCTGGTTTCATTCTTTTGCATGTACCCATCCAGTTTTCCCAGTACCATTTGTTGAAGACATTATCTTACTCCCATTATATATTCACTCTTCCTTTCTTGAAGATTAATTGACCATATAATTGTGCATTTATTTCTGGGTTTTCTATTCTATTCCATTGATCTATGTGTCTATTTTTATGCCAGTACCATACTGTTTTAATTACTACTGCTCTGTATATAACTTGAAATCTGGAATTGTGATTACCTCCTGTTTTGTTTTTCTTTTGCAAGACTGCTTTGGTATTCAAGGTCTCTTGGGCTTCCACACAAATTTTAGGATTGTTTGTTCTAGTTCTGTGAAAAATGCTGTTGGCATTTTGATAGGGATTGCATTAAATGTGTAGATTGCTGGGCGCCTGGGTGGCTCAGT